TGGCTTGCTAACAATTTGATCATTACATTGTTTAATCTAACCAAAATGGTTTTAACCAACTAAATTGGTTGTTTTTCCAACCAATCTATTCTTACAATATTTTCAAACTCTATCCAAGTGACTGCAACTCTCCTACAAACTCCAACACCTTGACTGAGTAGTGAGACTGTTTCAAAGCCTGGTTAAGTTATCGCATGGTCTGAACCACTTTTTTTTTTTATTAAAGAAAAAAAAAAGCGGAACCTCTTCCTCAAGCATTTACGTGGTAACATGGTGGAGAGGCTTCAGACATCATCAATTTTGGCCCCGCCACTAAATGAATCACGCCTCGACACACGCTTCGGGGAAACACCCCCTCCATTACTCGACACACGCCTTGAAGCCTTACCTCATCTCATAACATCACTAGATGTTGTCTAGGTCACACAAAAAAATACCCCAAAGGTTTAAATTTATGAGGCTTTGCAAAGAGTATATTCATTCTAGCCTGGAAAGTATGCAACAGTTTATGTAAGTATGCAGCCAGTTAAGTATATTTAAATGCATGTGGCCAGAGTATGTACTGTATGTGAGAGGGTGGAAGATGGTTGAAAGACAATTAGTGATGCTATTTGTTACCTTTTAAGGAATGTGTTAGGCTAATATCCTGGGCACATGCATTAAAGGTACTTGTGGGGACCAAAAAATGTAAAACAGCTCATAAAGCAAAGTTACAAACATTACCTAAAAAAGGGTTTAAATGAAAATGTCAGTTTTCTTATTTGTCACTGTCATTGTTTATTGATGATCTGACAGAAGGATCAAAAGGAAAGCATAGGAAAAGGATCTAGTTCCTACAGATTTTTGCACAAATTTGCCCCCAAAAAAAGAAATAAAGCTTATTATTTAGAGATTCACATCCCACCAGGTTAATGACTCATGCCTCAAAAGAATTAGTTCTGGATGTATAGAGGTAAATTATTCTGCCCTGTCAGACATTAATAAAGACCGATTTACCTTCATTCTCAAAAGAAAAACTAAATTCAGTTTTAACGATCTGCAGTGACCAAAGTGAAAAGTCTGCCCAAGAAGAGGACTGATATAAGAAAGTATCACCTTACAAGAATAGTATTTAAATGGATCATTGATTAATTTCCCAACCTGTATAATCCTTTTACTTTCCTAAAACCCTCAACAAAACAACATACCAAATCTGAAACATCAACAATAAAACTCTTCACCTTCGTGACGCTTTGAAAAAAAGACCGTCACTCATCGACCTTGACAGGTGTTGCCTCTCATGTGAGCCACCAATCAACTGGATGTTTTTTCTTTTCTGTTTCCTCTCAAGCTTGTTTAGCGATAAAGTGTTGCCATATTTCAACGACCTTTGAAGTGTCATTTCCCCAACGATCAATTTGCTCAAAGGAGTGCAAAGTGTCAAGGTGATCACGTGTACCAGTGTCAGGGGCATGCTGGTGAGGGATCAAAGAGTAAAGGGACAAAGAGATGTAGCAACTTCTGTCAGATGACACCATCCTACAATAAGTAAACTCTGTCCTAAGACGTGCTGCCACCAGACCTCTGAACATCAGTTCAACATCTTCAGAACCTTCCTCCCTCATTTTATTTCTCTTGGTGAGCCAAATGCTCATCTTTGCCTGACCAAACAAAAATTAACCAGACAAATATTCCTCCGTAGTGCTGATGAATATCTAGGATCAAAAATTAAACAGTTCGTTATTAAAACTGCTTCCTAAACCAGTCACCCGCTTTTTTTAACAAGGGGAAGAGAGGAGCTAGTCTGGGACATCCGATCCAGAGATGCTGTAGCGTTTCCTCAACCTGACAAAAGGCACACTGACTCCCTGATCTGTGATCAATACGTGCCACATATCTGTTTGTTGTCACGGCCCAGTGCACCACCCTCAACTGGAGATCCGCATTGCGTTTCACTATGGGTGGTTTGTACAGAGACCTCCAGCTGCCCCTGGGAGATGAACCTGGCGCCAACACATCAAACCACCTCTAATCTCTCACCCCGGCCAGCATTTCACTGTTCAGGAACTTCATGGACACTGCATACAAACCCTTTTTTGATACTTCAGAGAACTTCCTCAGCTCAGGTGTTCTGAAGGATAAAAGAAGTCCATCTGCTCCCTCTTGCTCCTTCAAATGGACAAGGCAGGAAGTCCATCTGTGTAGTCCTCTGCTTCTAATGCTCTCCTGAAAGAACCAGGAAGTCTGTTCATCACCTCCTCCACCAGTTTGTCCATGAGGCGCAGAGACTTAGTTCTGCATGGCTGTTCTTCAGTCATGCAGAACTAGACTGGTAAAAACTGGAAGTCTCTGTTGCATCCATACCATCAGTTCAGGGTTTCTGTGCTCAGTAAAGAAAACATTGTGCCGTCTGAAGCCGAAAAGCAGTTACGGGGCTCCTGAGGTCAATTAGCCCCTGACCCCCTTCTGACACTGGTAAAAACAGCACTGCCTATTTAATGCAATGGTATCCATCCCGGAAGAAATCCACCAGTCTCTTCTGTATGTCTTTAATAACTTTGTCTGGAGGAACTACAACTGTGGCACAGTGCCAGAGCATAGACGCAGCCAGATTGTTGGTAACCAAAGTCCTCCCCCTGTAGGACAACTGGGGCTGGAGCCATTTCCATCTAGCCCAGGGGTCTCAAACCGGTTCCAGAAAGGGCCGTGTGGCTGCAGGTGTTCTTTCTAACCAAGCAATAACACACCAGACTCTATTCATCTCATCAAGTAATCATGTTAAGACTGGACTTACTTGATGAGATGATTGAGTCTGGTGTGCTATTGCTTGGTTGGAAAGAAAACCTGCAGCCACACGGCTCTTCCTGGAACCAGTTTGAGAAGCCTGATCTAGAAAGTCTGGCACTAATTTGCTGAAAGTTTTCCTTTCCCAGAAACACACCTAAGACCTCCATTCCTTCTGTACTCCACTGCAGCCCAGCTGGTAGAGTTGGCTGCTCTTTATTGCTCCACTGTCCCAGTAGAAGTCCCTCACATTTTGACCAGTTGACCTTAGCAGAAGAAGCTTGTTTGTAGAATTTCAATTCCTGTTCAATAATCTGAATATCATTTTGACACTGTATAAAAACTGTAATGTCATCAGCATATGTTGACATATGTTGTTTGTGTTGTCTGCCAGGTTTAACCCTGGCAGACAACACAAACAATGAGACTCTGCCTGAGCTTATGCAAGAGAGGCTCAATAGCAAAAGCATAGCATCCCAGATAGGGGACATCCCTTCCTAATTCATCTCTGAAGATATACTGGGCTGCTAAATCCCCCCTCCTACATTTAACAGTACTGTAGCTGTTGAATATATCACAATGAAACAACATTTTCACCAAAACCAAATGCTTTAGGTGTCAAAGGCCTTTTCTTGATCTAGAGAAAACAAACCCACATCAAGTTCCTGTAATTGAGATAAATTAATAATGTCTCTAAGCAAAAACAAATTATCCATTATTGTCCTTTCAGGGATACAGTATGGCTGAGTGGCGTGTATGGTTGTGTCCATACATTCTTTAAGTCTATTCACCAAAACTTTTGTCAGAATTTTAAAGTCTGTGCACAGTAATGAAACAGGCCGCCGGTTCTCTAGGAAATCCAAATCTCCTTTTTTTGGCATCAATGTCAGGACTGCCCTGACTGCAGCTCATTGGTAATATCCCAGACTCCAAACATCTATGAAAAACTGCAATTAAATCTTTTCCATGTAAATTCCAAAATGTCTTAGAATTCTGCAGGAAGTCCATCGATGCCCGGAGACCGACCACAGCTGAGCTGGTTCACCGCTGCAGACAGTTCTTCCAAATTAATGACGGACTCCGCTGAGGCTGAAGATGCTTCTCCTAACAGAGGGAGTCCTTCCATTATCTCATCCTTACATTCAGAGTTGCAATCATCAGCACTGAATAGGCTGCTGTAGAGGTGTATGGCTACCTTCCTTATCTCTGATGGGTCAGGGGCCACAGGACCTTGAATTCCTGAGGTGCATCATCTGGTTCTGTTGCCTGAACTTTTTCTCCAACTTAAAAAAGAAATGAGTGGGTGCATCTATGTCTCTTAGAGCACCTTTAGCTTTCTCATACAAAAATCTATTTAAAGATGCCCTCTTATTTTCACAATTTGCATTATTATCATTATTATTATCTAATCCATTAATTATGCCCTCTTCCAATAAACTACATAGATACATAGATAGACAGATAGGCTAAAGATATATATATATATATATAGATTAAATCTTCTATATATATATATATAGATAAATCTATTTAGAAAAACATGCTTAGATTAAAAAAAAATCTATTTAGAAAAACATGCTTTTCCTTAAACCCTACATTTGAATTCTACAGTAGTAATTTTTTCATCTTTTTTTCATGTTTTGTTTTTATATGCATTTTGTTCATGAAGTACTTAGTGATTTTTTTTAAGGGTAAAAGGTGTTATAAAAAGACAATATACTTTTTACCATATGGAACTCACCAGTAAGAAGAAATTTGTTAGTTTTTCTAAGTTTAATGCACAAAAATCGAAAATTAAATAAAAAAATAAAAAAAAAACATCAAATAATGCTGCTGAAATAAGAGATGTAAGAATTTATAAGGCTTTATCTTTACCAGGGTTGAACAATATGTGGAATCTGCTGTACACCTACATAACACGATAATTTAACCACCTCACCATGCATCCCCAGTAAGGCACCTTTCTTCACTATTTCTAACTCATTATATAAAGGCTCATCTCGTAGAGGGTTTCCCTGCACAGCCTTTTCCAATAAAAGCCAACCCCTTCCGATGTGCGAAGGTAGCTGACTAAAGCATTTTAAAATGAGGAGTAAGTCATATATTGATGAATGTGAGTGAATAAAAAGTGCTGAGCGGCAGTGAAGAGTTTGATTAGTGCCCATCCAAAGTGATGCAATCAGATGACAGCAGCTGTCCAAGGTGAAAATCAGGGTGTTGGTGTTGATGTTTATTACCTGAAGCTGTGTTGATGGTCCTAACGGCCTCTCTGGCACTCACTCTGTTGTTAGGGGGATAATCAGGGACTGTGTTTTGATAGCGCTTTTCTGGCATCCGTGGACTCACTTTGGCAGGTTGGTGACTGAAAGACAGAGACACAAAAAGGGAGATTGGGGCAGAGGGGGTTAGAAAAAAAAAAAAAAAACATTTATAGCAATAGCACCTGGAATAAGGAATAATAAAACTAATTGATCTGATGAATTAAAGACAGAAAAGAAGATAAAAAGGGGTCCATGCAGAGAGAGGACGGACAGAGGTTTTAAGCAAAGCAGAAATGGGCCAGAGACACGATCCAGTTTATTACAGCCACTGACAACCTGAGTGTTGCGCATTACAGTGTGACATGTCTGCACAACCATGATAAAAAAACACACATGGGACAGATATTTAGAGCCATGCAGGCTCACCCCGACTGGCCGTGCTGTTCATCAATTGCATCCACTGCACTTTCCACCGAGCTCAGGAGTGACTGGATCTGATTGGCGGATTCTTTCAGTAGGAAGCGAGTCACAAATTGTTCTACATTGGTCCCTCTTTCGTATACCTGAGAAAGCAAAAACAAAAGATTTTAACCATAATTTAAGATTTTGCTACTAAAAGTAAATAACTGAAAAAGACACAAAAGAGTGAGTAGATTTTTAAGGATATCAAGGAGAAAATGTAACATTTTCTCCAGTTACTTTTGTAGGAGCATTGTTTAGGATTACCCTCCCTGCTTTTCAGCTTGAAAAAAAAATTCTAAATGGACTTTTTGGATATTTCTCCAATAGTGAAGGTCCAAATGTTCAGGTTTACATATTAGCAAAGCTCCTTTCCTGTTTGACTCCAATTTTAATGCCCTTTTTACCAAATCTATGTTCTTCTTGTAAACAAACAATTTTGCAGCAATGCATTAACATGATTAACTTAATTATAAGTTATGAATATTTGTATATAATGTTGATATGTTGTTAATAAATGATATAAAACTCCATTTCCATTTCCAGTTTTATTATATATTTGTTATATATTAGATAATAACTTGTAACACTAAAATAACTGTGAGCAATCTTATTATTATTACATAATATATTAAAATAATCTGTTTACAAAGCTGATATAAATACCACATCATGTAGGAATTGATGCAAAGTGGCAGAAAACAGCTGCTTCTGATGTTATCATCCCATTAAATGGCCGTTATAGCAGTTATCAGTCCCATAGAATGACTTTCAGATTGTGGCTTCTACCCACCAGTGGGCTCAGTAGGTTATCACCGAATGAATTCTAATCCTAACCCTAAGGTAATTCCTTTTTACCTGCAGAATTTATTAATATATTTATGCGTAATCTGAACATAATTTTAGTTCTTCAACTACCTATTGCAAAAGAAATTATACATCATGTTGCTCATAACAAACAACCCCTCCCAAAAAATCTCTTATCCTGTCAACTATCTTGTTTTTAAACACCACATTAGATCGGTGTGACTGAACCATGCAGTTTTCACTCGAAGTACAGCTTTAAAATGCTTTTTTTTTAAAAGAAGGTAGGCTGAAATAAATTAGATAAAAAGTATAAAGAAGGTAAATAGAAAGTATAATTTAAGGTTTTTTTGACGTGGCCGAAGTGGCTCTTATTAACAGTAAAGTACAAATTATCAGCCATAAGAAACTTACTATAAGGTAGAGGAGGCGCAGTCCTAAGCCCCTCTATGGGAATAATAAATGCTAATAATGGTAATTTAATGCTTGATTACATCCAAAACAGTTGTATAAAACATCCTGTGATAAATTAGTCTTTTTAGTTTCATTTATTTTTGTCAGGCTGAAACATTAATCTCCTTTATTTGAAAAAACACCATATTGACAGAAAAAGAAGCTGTTTAATGCCAGCATCAATCACAGCTCTAATAGGAAACCGACTCACTCCAAAAAAAATTTGTCAGTGTAGGAATTTTTTTTAAGTCATGTTGCGACCGAAAAGGAGAACTTGGACATAGCCATTAGTGATATATAAAAAACTGCTTTGATAAGGACAGGGACATGTGGAACATTTCAGATAAAACTGAAGTTCTTGCTTCAACTCTAATGACCTTATGTCTGAAACATTTTAATTATTTACGGATATGGCTGCTTGCTAAAATAAAACCTCCTTTCTGCACAGTCAGCGTTAACTCATGACCAGGCACAGCAGGAAAGTGAAGTGATGGAGGCCTTACAAACCATAGTCCTACACTAAACTAGAACACAGAACTGTAGCCACCATATATACTCTAAAATGTCCCGATGGGGCAATAGATGAAAACTGATGCTTGAGTCTTTCTTCCCAAATTGATGTTTCACATAATTAATGCTACTGAAGAAGCATCTGTTCAGCAAAAAGAGCAGATTTGCTATAAAAAAGCAAAAGCAGGTGATTACATAACAACTCTTTATACTTTATATACTTTATATATATTTTTATGCTTTATACTACATTCAGTTATTCACAGACTTTGATAAAACAAAAATGCCCAAGAAAAAGAAGCAGTAAATATAATGTAATACCTATAGCGCTGCCTTTTATCTCTGTGGAAAGCTACGAGCCACATTGGGGAGGAAGTGAGGGAAAAAAAGCCTATTTCACACATCCCTGACAGGATACAGTTTGAGATATTAAAAAAACCTCAGCACAAGAAAAGCACATGTAAAACAAGACAGACATTTCAGCAGAGGGTCACATTGGAGGTGGAGCCACATGAAATCAATCTGACATTTGAGACATTAGTTGTGTGTATATTATGAGTGCTTTTAATATGCCCATGAACGCTGGCCACAGACCATTGTCCTTGATGAGATGGAAGTTTATCAACAGTTATCCAAATCCAAACAGGAGAAATCTGAATATCATAAAACCAAAAATCCATGCATCTTCAACATCCTCCACTGACAGCGTTGTGAAACACACCATCCTTCAAGCCTTCCAGGAGTCCATGAGGTATACCACGAGATATGTCCCGGCAGGACAGGACGGGTCCCCTTATCCCTGTCTTCCAATTGTGAAAATTTTATCAATTGCATTGAGAGACCAGCTGACTAGATCCAGTGTTTGATTTTGTGTGATATCAAGAGAGGGCTCAGAACAGACAAGACACAGCAAAGCAGGGGACAGAGCAGACAGGTTCAGCAGTCCTCTAAACATACTATCATACTATCCTCCAAATTTCAGATGCATCCAAAAGGCTAAATTTCCTCATCAGCAGTCTTTCAGCTCCAAAGAGGCCTGATAAGAAGTCATTCATTTAATGATGTGTTAAAGTGTTTTCAGTGCAACCTTTGGTGTGAGCTTTAATAACCCTTTTTAAGTCATATGTTGATGTGATTTTAAAGGGAAGGAAATACATAAAGAAATTCCATTTGTTTAAAGGTAATCAAATCGAAGGAAAAGAAAGAAAAATGGAGAAAGAGGACTTCAGTCAGAGCCAACTGGAGTTTCACTTGATTACCTGGACATGTTTTAACACCTATCCCAGAGTTTGTGGATTCTGGCAGGAGTAAGTAAGTCCAGTTGCCTATGGTATAGGCCTGTTTTATGGTTGCCACCAGTTGGCAAAAGAAAAAAAAGAGGAAGAAGCAGAAGGAAAGGATTTAATAAAGACATGACTGGGGGTAGTTTACTATTTAAATTATATTTATTTACAATAGGGAAATGGAATAATAATAAATGTGAGGGTTGTGGAAAAAAAAGAAAATGTGGATCATGTATTTGTTAGGGTTTGTGGATGTTGTTGAGGACCCATATGCAGAGTAGAGGAGGGAAAGATGTTTTAAGCATTTTAATGGTGAAGTAGATGGTAAAAACAAAAATCCAGAAATCACAAGCTTTTCCAAAAAACTAGAGAAGCTCGGGAGAAACATACAAGAAGAAATGAAGAGAATCCCGTACTGACGAAGTACAGAGGAGTTTGTATGTGAGACAGGATAGGAGAGGAGTAATCAGTTAATTGGGAGCAGGTGTGGAGAAAATCAGGTAGAGAGAGATAAAGGGAAAGGAAAGGGGCACTAGGGTGAAACAAAGAGTAACCAGGGAAAGCAGAGTTTAACTGTAAATAGAAAAGAACTTAAATAAGGCTAAAGGGGAATAAAACTAATGACTACAAAATAAGGAATAACCAAGGGGAAAACTAGAGGATAAGAGAAAAGACTGGAGATAACTGAAGCCATGGAACACTTAACCTAAGAATAAGATTATTAATATCTAGCTAAAAATAGACCACGGAATACATAATAACAAAGATGTTAAAAAGAGATAACAAGAGTAAAATTAAGAACTCAAAAATTATATAATCTTGACAATACAGAATAACATATAATAAAGCATAACTGAGAACCAGAAATGCAAACTTACACAAAACCAAAAATTCCAGAATGGCAGTGTTATGGGAGTGTTTTAAACATTCATCTGAAAGAGAGAGTTTGAGGGAAAGGAATATATAAGGAATGCTAGGAAAATATGGTTTTAGGGCTGAAATCACTATTATGAATAAAGCATTATTCTTATTCTTATTCAATCCAAACTTAAACATAGAATATAGTAGGTGGAGACCTTAGAGATACACTTTTATGTACAGTAGGTGGGGATGTACGACTCTAAGGCTGTTTAGCATCAGTCAATAGGAAAAAACTAACCAAATGGATCAAAGACATAAACTTAACTCTAATAATGGATAATATTATATTCCGTTGTATCTAAATAAACTTTTAAAGATTTGAGTTAGGAAACAAATGTAATCTGAATGCCACCTGAAAAGCTCCTAACACCTGACCATAATTGACTACACATGTTCTCCAGAGAATGGAGTCAGTCGGTCATGTAAGCCTTTCTTTCAGTCAGAAGTCACTGTGCAGTGATTCAGGGAGACAATTAAGGTTCCTGTTCAGTCAGCCATTCTTTCATGAACGCTAATCAAAGACAAACTCTCCCATGAGAGGCAAAATCACACACAAGCCATACTGACTTTCATTATAAACAGTCAATGGATTGAGACACGCACATCCGACACATCAGACAAATATACAAAATCACCTTGAGATAGTAAACAGAGTTCTGCAGCATCCAAACCACATAACACTAAACATGGCAACTAAAAACCAGAATATATTCAAGCGGACGATGCATCATTTTTTTTGGGGGTAGGGGGGTTGAGTTAATTCCATATGAATACCACAGGATTTCAAACTAACATGTCCAATAATAAGATTATGCACCATTTACTAATACATTGAAGATAGGGACATATTAACATTTTGGTTTCAGAAAAGCAGATTGTTTCTGCTCGTTTGTTAAAAAAAAGACCAAGCACCAATGGCTACGAATAAAATAATTAAAAATTAGGTCTAGACAATGAAAGACAAAACTGAGTTGGATTAACTGTAAGTAGTATAATTACCTGCTTGGACCCTTTTTAGTGCATAACATGACTTTCTGGAATTTTGCTGTTCCTGACCTCAACCTTTCAGGGTTCATTAGTCAATTTTGAAAGGATGAAATAATATCAGGTAAATAGTAAGAGTTCCTTCTGTC